TAAAATAGATTACATCAAGTTAAATTGCAATAGTAATAACTATATATACTAAAAAATGTCAAACGGTCTATAAAAACAGTTTGTAACGGAAATAGATTTATGGTTGTGAAATCAACTAATGACAATCTGGGATTGATGTATATTTTTTTGAATGTGACATACTTCCGAAAGAAACTATTGAAATTTTTTTAATTTTTACTAATTTTTTTGTCACTTTCCAGAGAAGATTATTAATTATAAGATGGTCGACACATAAATTTTGGAAGCATATTGTTTAATGTTTACTATTTTTATTTACTATGTTTTTAATCGACCAATGTTTAGATTGAAGTAGTTACTTATTCATCATTTGGGTAGTATTTATTTGACAAAATTGCAAAAATAGTCCCTGTGGTATGCAAAATTTTGGGGTTTTAGTCTAAACCCTGAGTTTTTTGGATTCATGGTCCTTTCAGAGTGGTTTGTATGTGGAATTGGTCCCCGGACTTAACTTTCGTTAACTTGATGCTGTTAACCCCCTCATGTGCCTCTCACATGAGGGTATATTTGTCTTTTTACTTCTAAGGGACCATTTTTGCATTGAAAAAAATATATCCCTCTTTTTTTAAAAAAAAATTAATACCTATTTATTTATTTTAATAATTAAAAATAAAAGATCTCTCTCTCTCTCTCTCTCCATTTTAGATCCAAACTCGATTTTATATTTGAAAAATGATTTCATGTTCTGGGGAATGGAGAAATGGGCACACAACATAATCACCATCATCTTTCCAGTATCATCACCTTCCTCTATTGCTAAATCCATCTTTAATTTTAGAAACCCCAACTCCAATTTACCCCACCCCCAAATTTACTCCTGTCACTCTGTACCTCCTGTCCGTCGGTGAGAAGCATTATGGTCTAGTGGTCGCTGAAGATCTTGATCTAAATCTGGAAGATGGTGGTTTTATCTGAAAGCGAAGCAACACCTGAGAAGCTAAAAGGATTTTGTTAGTCGGGGTTCACATCAGACACAACAAAGCGAAAATGGGTTTGGAAGGAAACGACTGCGACGACAACGGCGGTGGAAGGAAAGGGTGTTTGTTCGTCGGAGTTCACATCGGAAACAGCAAGGCGACTGTGGCGTTGAAAGGGAAAGGTTGTGGCAATGACGACAATGGAAGGAAACAATATGATGTTCCGGTGGTTGCTGGTACCTATCTAGGGCTTGATAGTGTATGAAATTGATGTGGTGAGAAATCTGATGGTCGATTGATCGTCGGGTGTCCTGTCACAGCTCTAATTTCCAGCTACCTAATTTCCAGCTACCTAATGGCTTCCGACAGTGAATGTGGCATCTGATGGTGGTTCAAACGGATGAGAGAGAGAGGGAAATAAATATACGACTTTCAATTTTAGTCTAATATGCAGCTACCTCAAAATCTATTTAATTTTTTGATTTACAGCTTGCATCTTGCAGTGGCACACTGTGAACATCATCGCCTCTTTCCCAGATTTGTTCGCCAAGGGGTTTTTAGATGGTAACTCAAGAATTGGAACCCTAAATTTGAATCCAAACTGAAATTATGCGTGTTTGTGTGTATGAATCCCCACAAATGGAATCAGATATTGAGTTTTTGTTTTGTTTGTGTTTTTTTATTTTTGAAATCGATTTGTGCATGTGTTTTTGTTTTTGGAGAATGTGTGTGTTCTCGTTTCTGGAAATCAATTTTTTTGTGGGTGTTCAACCCCATAAATTGATTTGTATCTGGGTGTTCTTGAATGGCATGTGTGGTATGAATTGATTGATGGTAGTTCGGTCTTGTGTACCAGAAGAACATTAGGGTTCTACTTTGATGGATGCTATTGGATTGGGTGGATATCGTAGGAGAGAGAGAGAGAGAGAGAGAGAGAGAGAGAGAGAGAGAGAGAGTTTTATTTTTTAATTATTAAATAAATAAATACGTATTAATTTTTTTAAAGGAATATATTTTTTCAGTGCAAAAATGGTCCCTTAGAAGTGAAAAGACAAATATACCCTCATGTGAGAGGCACATGAGGGGGTTAACAGCAACAAGTTAACGGAAGTTAAGTCTGGGGACCAATTCCATATACAAACCACTCCAAAAGGACCATGAATCCAAAAAACTCGGGGTTTGGAATAAAATCCCAAAAATTTGCATACCACAGGGACCATTTTTGCAATTTTTTCTATTTATTTCGAAATTTTATATTTAAAATGATTAATGTTTAAACCTTCATATTTAACTTTTTGTAATCAACCCGTTTAGTACACAGAAATAGACAAGACGTTGTGAATGTTTCATTAAGTTCGTCCTACATGTGACATTAAAGAACATTAACATTTGCAAAGTAGGTTTTAAATATAGGAGAATGAAAGGTTGGTAGTTTAAATGATGGCGAGACAATTATTGATATCTCGGATGATAGTCTCATTACTTATTCATTTGATCCTATTGGTTCATTAATTGAATTTCCTTATCCTTATATTCTTCAAAACGCCAAGAATCCGATGTTTTTTTTTTCTTTCAAGAAATAGCAATCCTTGCACCAAAAAATGAACTCGTTCAAGAAATAAATGATTGTTTGTTATCACTATTTTCAGATGCTGAAAAAGAATATTTACGTTTATATAGTCTTTGTCATTCATATTATGTTCGTGATGACTTTGATGAAAGTTTATACGTCTGATGTTCTAAATGGTCTTAAACTGTCAAGTTTGCCAATTCATAAGTTGGTATTAAAAGTCGGTGTTACATTTATGTTACTACGAAATATTGATTAGAAATGTATTTTGTGTTATGGAACAAGGCTACGGTCTATAGCATTCGGTAATCATGTTATAGAAGCAAAGATAATATTCGGAAGTAATATAGGAAACCGCTCGTTTATTCCAAAAATGTCATTTCACATTTCAAACAAGATGATTTCCACTGATTGTATGCTTTGTGATGAAAATAAATAGCAAGCAAGGACAATCGCTATCGAATGTGAGGTTGTTTTTGAGACAACCGGTGTTCACTTATGGACAGTTGTACGTTGCATTGTCTAGAGTTAAAAACAGAAGTGGATTGAAAATATCAATTTTAAACAATTATAGTAAACTTAATAATATGACATCTAATGTTGTATTCAAATAAGTCTTTGGAAATTTATGATTCAAAACAATTATTTAAAATATGTCGATAGGTGTTTTAGTAGTTTAGATTGAATTACTTATTTATTCATCATTTGTTTGTATTTACTTTGAAACATAATTTAAAAAATGATTTACACCTTGATATTTTACCTGTTTTTAATCAACATGTGTAGTACATGAGTCTCACACCTAGTATGTTATATAATTAACCTAGACGACAACACATGGTGTTTTTTCACTTAATATGAACAGAAAAACATGATTAGCAAAGCCACAAACACGAGTCTAGATGCTAACTGTTTACCTTTTTGCCATCTTTTACATTTTCTCTCAAACTCCTCTTATATTAGAATTGAGGAATATTATGAAATTTGTATTTTTGATATATAAGACTATAACGATCAATGTATTATTGATAGTATACAACAACATTACTTATTAAGGGCATGTTTATCAAAACTATATGGTAGCTAGAAATTTTTAGGTAGTAGCTAAAATTTGTTAGCTGGAAGCCGAAAGCTGTAGTTTTTGTTTATGCAGAAGTGTTTTAAAGAAAATAGTTGTGAGCTCTTAAATGTGTACAAACTAGTTAAAAAATAAAAGTTAAAAGGTCCAAAATGTATTATTGATATTATGCAAGCAAACAACATTACTCATTAACGGCGTGTTTGATAAAGATAGTTGGTAGCTAAAAACTAAAAACAAATAACCAGTAGTTGGGAGTTAAAAGCGAGAAGCTATAGTTTTTGTGTATGTTGGAAATATGTAAAAAATAGTTGTAAGAGAAAAAAAAACAACCCTTAATAAAACAAAATAAAATAAATAAATAAAACTAAGTTAATGAAAACTTCCCAGAAAGAGTGATCCAACAACTCCAACCGTTCAATAAGTGTTTACGAATAACCAGAGCGTTAATTAATATACAAGTCTGGACCAGTGGGGATACCAGAAACTTGTTAAGTGTTAGGGTAGATGGATGGATATTGGATATACAATGTACATATACATATACACTTATCCAAATTATTAGGTGAAGCCATATGGTGGACCTAAACAATAACTAACAAACACCCCCTCCCCTCATATTGGTATTCACGTATTATCAACACATCAACATTCAATAATCAATAGTCAATACTTAATACTTAATATATGGGGTGGACCCTTCATCCATTCCTTTAAGATTCAAAAACCAGGTCCAAATATTAAATGAATCGTAAGATCAAAACTTTCCTCACCTAACCATTCAGTCATTCACACACACTAACGCCTCCAACAAGTGTCAACTATCAACCCCAAATGGATGCATACTTTTTGAAGCTTATAACATAAAATAAACAATTACAACCAACTCAAGTAGAGACAGTTTTGTATAGCTGACACAAAAATAAACAACTGAAAAAGTAAAATAAAAGAAAACACGGGTATCAGGTAGACATATTAATATTATATTAAAGATTAAAGATACAGACTATTGAATATTCTATTTAATTGTTTATTTATTTATATATATATCATTATTTAACAAAACTCAAAAGCAAAGTTAGTAAAGATGGACCCTTACAACAAAAAAACACCAAGGGGACTTCAGTCTACCCATCTTATCTTCTTCTTCGGTATATATTTTCTTTCTTTCTTTCTTCCTTCTTCTTCTTCTTTTTCTTTTTCTTTTTCTTTTTCTGGTGCCAAAAAGCTCAGAAAGAGAACTAAAAAAAACCCAAAAACAAAAACAAGCAAAACACAAAATAGTCAAAAATACCGGTTCCCTAAACCCCACTTTATCCAAATCATTTTCGTCAAGAAAAATCTGGATTAAAATGGGTTTTAGACAAATTGAAACCCCGATATGTAATTATAATCATCAGTTGCCTTCGATCACAGAAGCTAGACCGCTAACGACTTTACCTCCAGTCTTCGGTACCTTCGCTTTGATCTCTAATGGCTCCCATTCTTTCAGACCTTCATCTTCTTTAGTAGCACCTCCAATAACTTCAAATTCATCCATTAAATTCGGGTCTTTTGGATCTGAAATCAGATCATTCCTAATCATGGATTGGGTATTATTATCATTATCAGTGGGAGTGTTGTTGATGATTCGGGTACAGGGAGAGAGCCATTTTGATTTTACATAATCAGCTCTTCTCCATGGAGGTAAAGGCATTCCTTTCTTCTTCAGGCTCTGTTTTGCTGCATCAGAAACTATGTTGATGATCTTCTGGAGACGATCGGCTTTACCGATGTAAATATGAGGGAGCATTTGTAGAACACCTTTGTAGCTTTTCGTGGATCTTGCTATTTCAAACTCCGATCTGAAATCTATGTCGATTATCAAACGATCCCCTTCAACCACAGCTTCAATATACTCGTATTCTCCTGTTAATAACCAAAACGCCCCAAAAAAAAGTAGAATCAAAATCGAGAATAATTAATGTGGACTTAGGACTGTAATTTCATAGAAAAGTAGTTGTGAACGAAAAGAATCATTGCTTGAAATGGTCAAGGACTTATTTCATGAATTTAATACGAAATCGATAGAAGCAAATTTTGGAAAAATCTGGATAGATGGATTTGAGTAATTAATTACCTGCTGGATAGGTTGAAGTTTTTTCCCAGCGGGATTTACAGGCAGAAACGGCGTATCCGGAAGCTAGGAGGCCATCGGCGACGATCTTACGACTGATTTCATCTTTCCGCTTACAGATCTTGTTCTTTTCAACGATTTTAGACACATCGGCCAACAAATTCCTTTCAGAAACTGTCTCGCAAATCACCAAACTCTGTATAAATTCAACGCACAATAAACGTTTTTCAGACTCCAAAAGCAGACAAATTTCTTCCGATTATAATCGTTCGACGTACAATGGGATAAGGTTAGTGGAAAATGGATTATCACCTTAAGGAGATCACATGCGTCGGTCGACGAACTGTGGTTGTTAGAGTTGCCGAAACAATTAAATGAGTCGAACTCATCCTCGGAACCATCGCTACTGCAGAAGTTGTTGCCGTTGACGCAATTGCACTGGTGGTGGTTGTGCCGGCCACACTTGATGGATGCGGCCACAGACTGCTTCTCGTTGCTCTCCTCTATGAAATTCTGGACCATTTTGTCCAAGCAGACAGAGCTCGGCTCGAACTCATCTGAACAGTCTTTGCCGCATTGCGAGTCGCCGGCGACGGACCTATCCGCAACCGCCGATCCTCTCAAAAAGCTCGAGAAATCAAAGAGACGTCTCAACCGAGACTTCGGCACAGTTTTCACCGACTCGAAACATTCCGGTATGGTTGAATCGATTGGCTGTATCTTCATCGTCAAAGGCATACCAAATATTCTTCCCCGATTATCAATTTGAGCCTCTAATTAGGAGAGAAAACCCCTAGAAGTCTAAAACCTAAAAAAAACTACTTATCACAAAACCTCAATTTTCTGATGGTAATACCTTATCGAAATGATTAGGTAAACACACAATACTACAAACCCGAAACAAAATTCCAATGGCTGTAATAGTAAAAACACAGCACATGAACTAGTTTCTCATCCATCGGATCACCAAACAAAGAGGCACATAAACCAAGAAATCCGCCTAAATCCTTAGAAAACCCTGCAAAACTGATGCTTTATCTTATAGATTAGCATTATTATATATTTATTCTATTATTTAAATTCCGATTTGTGAGACAAAACAACGAATAACTTCTAATCTCTCCTACGTAACGCTCGCTTTCGCGTAGGGTTTTCAGCTACTATTAGGTTTTAGGCTAGGTAAGTACGTCACCTACGGAAATTAAGAGATCAAAACTGCTTAAATCTAGAAATCGACGGACGTTTGCCGGAAAACTCATCTCCGGCGAAATCATAACGAAATTGTAGAATCAGAAATCGCCGCGGATGGCAAATGTGGATGATCGGAGTAACTACAAAATTTTAAACAGGTTCAAGGCTTTGGGTTTGGGGTTCTTTTGAGTGAAAAGGAACCGAAACCAGGTTAAGGCTACTATATATAAAGGGGTCCGTGAATCTTGCTGACGTGGATATTGTTTCGCCTACGTGGAATACTACGTGGCAGTCACCTCCCCCGTTATCTCTTGCCGTTTAAACGTCCGTTACAAATCCCGTGTGTGGCCACAGGTTGCCACGTCGCAATCAAGCTGAAATGACCAAACTGCCTTTGGGCTTTATCAAAAATGGCATTATGGTTATCTTCCAATGTACTCGTTGAAATTTGAAACACAACATTTTGTAATTTAGTGTCAAGTTTTATGGAAAATCTTCAATTTCTATTTGAAACACAACATTATTGAAATTTGAAACAGAACCTTATGGTTATCTTGTATCATTATTTTATTTTAAAAATAACTTCGAATTAAAATTTGGTTACTAAAAAAATAAATTATTTGATGTTTTGCTTTTTTTTTCTCCCGGTAACATATATTTTATAGGTTTTTTTTGTTGACACATTTAGTAATTAAATGAGTTAATGCCATGAATAAGTTGTATAAGGAAATCTCCATTAAACTTCAGTTATTTTTTTTTTAATTTACAAATAAATCTCAAACTAAAAATTGTATATAAAAAAATATAAATTACCGGTAAAAGTGATGATTTATCATTTTTTCTCCCGGTAACATTTATTTTATCGTTTTCATCGTTGATAAACGTAGAGTCATTAAATAAACTGATTAGATGGATATAATACCTTACATAAAATTAGATAGAAAATTAAATCTTTTTATAAACTTAGAAAATAATGAAGTTGTTGCTAATTTACGTAATTATTGTAGTCTTTATGGAATGCATTTCATATATTTCTAAAAAACATGCAATGCAACAGGATATCAAGTTTTTACGGTAAACATAACATTATATAACACAACATATACATCTCATCAACTCATTTAATGACTAAGCGACCAGATTAACAATGAAACCGGTAAAATATATGTTGTCGGAAGAAAAATGTCAAATTATCACTTTTACAAATAACTCACGTTTTTTCATAAACAAATTTTACTTCAAAAATTATTCATAATTTAGGGTAAATAACGAGACTATAATAGAGATTTCCCTACTACAACATATCAATTTCACCGGCTCATTTAATGACAAAGCGTCCAGTTCAACAATGAAAATCGGTAAAATGTGTGTTACCGAAAAAAATAGTCAAATCATCACTTTTACCAATAATTATGTTTTTCTATAAGCTAATTTTAGTTTAAGACTTATTTGTAAATTATAATAAGTTAACAGGACTTTAACAGAAATTTCCTAATATTTTATAACCAAAAACATTAAGTTTTATAGATTTTTATTATAATATTATTTTGCATTAACGATTCATTAAGTTTTATTATAATTTTTTAACTAAATTTTTTTATCACATTTAAATTATTTTTTATAATTATGAAATATTCGTATATTAACTAAAAATTGGTTTATACATAATTAACAAGTAATTCCAGTCGACATCTTGGTTCTAATATTTAACATTGTTCTAAAGTTATTTTGAATACTTGTATGTATAAGGTCGGACGGTGTGATGGGGAAAAATGTGAGGGAAAGTTTCCCCCACCCTAGAACATTATATCGTGGGTGAGGGGAAAAGGTGAGGGGGTGTATTCTATACTCCCTCTTCTCGTGTTATTGGTTAGTGTTTTTATTCAGTTTTTTTAATATTTATTAAATTATATACCTACTAAAAAATTATAAAAAATATATCAAAATTAATGGTTTTTAATTCTCTACAAAATTAGTATAATATTTGTATGAAATATATATATATATATATATATATATATATATATATATATATATATATAAATTAAAAAAAAGTGAAAGATTCTTCTCACACACACCCTGGCTTTTGGTGAGGGAAAGAAGAAAGCGGGGGAAAAGTATGACGTGACAGACAAAAAGTGAGGTTAGCTTCTCACACACTGTCACAACTAGCATTTTAGCTGAGAAATTCTATTCTCATGTAAACATTCATACAGTGTAATAACTTGTACTCTAAATGAATATTATACTCTATGCTCATTCAAATACATCTCATATGTTCAATTAAGGGTTGGAAACCCTAGAAATCCCGGTTCCAGTTTAATATGAGTTATGATTCTCTTATTGGGCCTAATGGACAAATAAACCTTCAACTTGACTATTTTGGGCCTATGAACCCTAATTGGGCCCTAAGTTGACCCACATTCCTATGATTTTAGCATTATGGGCCATGTGGGCCTAGAATGAACCTTCTTATTTCTAATGGGCCGTGAACCATTTTAATTGGGCTTCATTGGGCCGTGAACCCTCATAAGGGACCAATGGGCCGAAAAATAATTTTTGGGCTTCATAAATTCGAACAAGACCAATAATGGGCCAAATCATTTCATCCTCATCTTTCTTGAGCCCAATTCTCGGTCCATTATGCTTATTATACAAAAAAAAAAAGGAAAAATGAGGAATTTTGTGCATTAGAGACCTCATGTTTGCATGGTGGTCTTCCATGCAAACATCACCTCACCATCTCTCTCTCTCTCTCTCTCTCTCTCTCTCTTCTCTTATTATCGGACGAGAGGCCCTCCTCTCTCCACAACGCACTTAAAAAATTCATCCAAGCTCTCATAATTTCCTCTCAAACTTAAGAAGGAACCCTCTCATTTTCCTTACTATTTTCATTACTTGGTGTGTGATCCCAAGAGTTCTTCAACAAGTATCACCCACTTGTTAAGTTGTCATCATACATATGTCATTGATCTCCATTTTTAAGCCAAGAACACCCCCTTACATGGTTCATTTCGTGTTCTTTCTTCCTAGGACCATCTAAGTTCGAAAATCATTCTCAAAAAGCTTCCTAGGGCCGAGATGTTCTCATATCTTCATCAAAAACCGAATCCAAACCTCAAGGTGAGTTCATACCCCCTTGATTTCGGTTTTAGTTTGTTTTGGGGGGGGGGGAGAATACAAGTACATATGTGTAGATCTATGTATTAGTGCATGTTATGTGTGATTTTCTTGGTTTATGTTGTGAATATGTGATGAAATATGATAGATCTCGAAATCTATAACAAAAGAATGTGAAATTTACAAACTATAACACTTTATACACCATAATATGGAAATGAAAGTGTACATATGTGATGATTGTTGGAAAAATGAAAGAAAGTCTTGAAATAGGGCCATTTTTGACAAATAACCAAAAAGATGAGACTTTCTTGGCATTTACGGTTTTACAAGGACTAAAGGAGTCATTTTTATAAAAGAAATGAGTTTTTACGATATTTTGGTGATAAAGGGACTAAAAACGTAAATTTTTGCATAATGGGCTTTTCGGTTTTAGTGGGCCAAAGTTGTAAAAATTCCGATTTTCATAGATTAAATTGCTATTTTACACAAGTTTGAGGCTAAAATGTAAAACTTACGGTTTTATGGGTTGAAAATGCCACATTATTTGGATTTGGGCTAAAAATGCAAATTTTTCCAAAACTTGGGCCAAATATGTAATTTCTATGAAAAGTTAGATAAAAATGTAAATTTTTATAATCATGGGCCGAAAATGTCATTTTTATAAGACTTGAGTCGAAAAGTGTCATTTTATTTAAAAATGGGCTGAAAATGTAAATCTTTACAATAATAAGCCGAAAATAATATGTTATATATATTTTGGGCCAAGAATGTCAATCTCTATAAAAATTGACCAAAAATATTATTTAATATATATTTTGGCCATAAATGTAAATTTCGCTATATTGGGCCTAATATATCAATTACATGTCCATTTGGGCCTTTGTGGCCCGTTCACATGTTTATTGGGCCTAATATGATTACTACATGTTAATTTGGACCTTTATGACCCATTAACATGCTTAATGGGCCCAGTCTATACATCACATGATTAGTGGGCCATAGTTGTTCCCTTACATGTCTGTTGGGCCTTATACATTCATATACCTATTTTCTGGGTTTGCAAATCTTAACTATATATACGAAAACATTATACATAGCGTAATTCAATACTCGTGTGAAAACAATAAATGATCTAGTGAGACTTGTCGGTTGACACCTCTAGAGTGTATGATCGTAGCCTGTAGTTATAACCAGAGTCTCCTGGAGGGAGAGCGAGAGTTTGTGTATAGATGTATACGGGGTGACTCCCCACACCTAAGTTGTTCGCTACATCTAGACTAGGCAAGTCTAGGGTGACAAACCTTACCGTAAATCAAACCGGCGCCTAAGAACGCCACGAAAGGCGAACTCGTCAAAAATCAAGTATGGTTAAAACGACACACTTAGAAATCTTCTTTGTGACATCCCCATTTTTACGGCCAGAAAAGACCGATTTCATTTATGCTTTTTAATAAAAATTAGAGTAACTTCTTAAGAAAAGTATTGCGGAATTTGTTCCCAAAACAAAATATGATATAAATTTTATCAAAGCATTTCTTAAAGAAATGTATTTTCTTTACATTACAAAAACTCGGGATGTCAATCATCGATACAGACCATAAGCATAAACCAAAAAGAAATAAACATTTTAGGCCACAAAACACAATCTGACCTCAAATCCATAATCTTTCGTCAAGTCATCCAACTATGCTTTTGCCACTACCTGTAATACAAGAAAACTGAGTGGGTCAGGCGGGGGAGCCTGGTGAGCATATAGGGTTTTCAACCCACAATGTTCATTATTTATTTTCATCAAATCACTAACCCGATTACCCATTCCCGTTATCCTCACTTTACGTCCCTAAAGCATCTATTATAAGGGACTTATCCTAAGGAATTTCATCGGGATGGACACTACTGCTAAGGGGATTCCTCGGCCATATGTGTCCGTAGGCAACCATGGGGGGGGGGATGGAGTTCATTTTCAAAAACACCTACAGGTTGCAAGCCCGCTTGCGTTCCACTGGACTGCCTAGAAAAGTCTGTGGTCGTCATCTCTACTCCGCTAGACGACTGGATCATCTTA